AAGTCATCCAGACAGATATTCTTTGTTGCCTACCATCGCCAGGATCAATCATACAGGACCCTGTAAATGCCCGATCCCCAACCCCCAACCCCATCCCTCCTCCCCATCCCAATTTCACGAACCAGTAGCGCCCACCATTAACAATTTAACGATCGCCAGAAAATAATATAGAATATGTTTTCAGCAACCCATGTTTACGGCGAATGGGATCGGGTGGTCAGGCTCGCTGACTTGGTTGCTCCATGAGATCGTATCCCACATCCCGATGCTCATGATGTCAATCTCTTGATTGTCTGGCCCAGACAGGAGTATCTGAGCTGGAATTTATATAGCTGGAACATAATGCTGAGTGCGGCCTTACACAACAAAGTGAAATATCTTGAAAAATGAATGGATCTCCTGACAATCAGACGACATTGCGTAGGTTTTATTAATAATTTAATATTGGAGACACGGGCACCTCAGTGACTTGTAGCGTCATACCCTTATATACTTGTGTTTTACAAACTTGGAACTCCGCCGCTTCGTCATCTATCTGTCAAAAAAACGAAAGGCTAAAGATAGGTACAACGGGTGGACAGGCCTGGTGTCATACATTGCAAGTACGTCAGAGAAAGCGACTTTAGACCCACTAACAGTTATATAGTCATACATTACCAGATTCTATTTATATCCACACATATTCCGAGTCACCCGACGGCCTGACTACCGCCACGTGTACCATGGACATTATATAAAGGGGACTCCAACTGCTTCAGCACCACTTGAGAACCAACGTTGAACCTGAAATCAGCTTTGAAGTTTGCGACGTTTTGTAGGTAAGTTAATCTGTACCCAGTTGATTTCTTAAGTCCGTGAGTGGGTGAGTGAGTTTAGTTTTACGCCGCTTTTAGCAACATTCCAGCAATATCACGGCGGGGGACACCAGAAATGGGCTTCACACATTGTGTTTCCATGTAGGGAATCGAACCCAGATCTTCGGCGTGACGAGCGAACGCTTTAACCACTAGGCTACCCCACCGCCCTGATTTCTATAAGAGATGACAAATTGAGAGAGTAAATGTAACACTTGTAAAAATTATTATATGGTGGGATTGACTGCTTCCGCTCGTGTTCCTGCTGCTTCTATTGTTGCTGGAAGACATATAGTAACTACCAAGACTAGGGAGTAACACATCCGACGGTGATGAACTGTTAACTGTCATGCATTCCTATCATGCTTGATGTTAGGGTATCAACTCTTTGATTGGTCGTAAGTGAATGCCTACAAATGTATGAGATTTGCCCCTTTCGCGTACCCGGGTTCTATGATCGAGGGCGTGAATCCTGGATTTTATGTCAGTACCATACATATCTATACTTGGAGGTCAAGACTTCAAAAAGAAGTAGACGATGTCCCAATTGAATCTTACAATGCCTCATTTTGTTTGTTTATTTCATATCACAGGATGGCCAGCTCGGTTACCGATCTTGATGAACTCCTCAAACAATGGGCGTGGAAAATATATACTCGGACGAAAAATGCTGTGACTATCGACAATGCACAGCTCGATGTGGTTTGGAATAAGGTCCGTTTCTTTTCCTCCCAACCAACCTTTCGAAGCAGCATAAATCAAGCGTTCCACAATCTCAGATCGTGTTCAGTTCGACATTCGACAATGAGACAAGGCAATATCAACTGCACAACTTCCAGACTCAACGTTCCACGATTGCGACAGTGACAACGACGCTGTCCAAAGGCTTCACACGCGGGGTCAATGCAGGAATCAAGCTTCCGGTCCCACCGGAAGTGCTCACCTCTACAGCTGGGTTCGGCAACGAAGTCACTATTGAATGCGAGGATGAAAATACGGTACAGAATTCTCTCTCCTGGGCCGTCAACACGACTGTCAAAGCGCCGAAGGAAATGCGAACTGTTGCTGAGCTTGAAATACTTGAAGAAGAATTCAAATGCAGCTTCAAGATGAACGTATCCTTCCGAGGGATGGTGAAAGTGAAGATCACAGAATTACCATCTAAAACGTACTGATTGTAGAAAATGATATCTCCCAGATTCTACGTGACAGTAATGCCATACTACCAGACTGTGATGAGATAACCCCCAAGAAAGTGGTTTGGCCTATCATCGGGAAGGTTCGGTTCCGGTATGGTGTTTCAAAAGATCCGGGTGTATCAGGAAGACGTACCTTACGATGATGATGACGATGATGATGACAATGGTGATGATGATGATGATGATGACAATGGTGATGATGACGATGATGATGACAATGGTGATGATGGTCTACTACATATCACTTTTTCAGCCACACCATTTTACAAATAACCATACAGCTATTATCTAAATGTGGCACCTTGAATTATGAAATAATATCATCCGATACGTACGTGACTAGTTTTTCTGACTAGAGAATTAAGTGACAATGTGATGAATTATTTGAGTAACTTATCAAATATTCCGCATGAGCTTTTAGTAACACACATGTCTGCTCAAAGACTTTAGAAGTCCTTTGACATACACATTGTAAATCATTATTACTCAGGTTCCTTTAAAAATACCAACAAATTGCAAAAACAGTCTCAAATCAAACCAGATAACTAGATTAGCCGACAATCTGTGGGCGTAGTAGACCAAACAATGAGTAGCTGAGTATTTGATCAATAGCCAGTTGCAATAACATTAAACTTTTTATCATGAAGAATAATACTTTTTCTTACCTAAAACATCGATTAAAACACATCAGCATCCTTTTTCTTCAGGATTACAATATTCTAATGTTCTTCCTTTACTGTTTTAGTAATACATAAAGACAATATCAGGGTAATCAATATTAATCATCATAAATTTGGCAAAGGAACATAAGAGGACTGTATCCTCAATCGTTCTTTCTCAAGGAAAGCGGGGCGTTTTGCTTTCTGAATTTACAGATATTCTGTCTGAATTTCGGCTCTACTTTTACCACTTGGAATAAGAATCAAATGACATTTCGATACATACGTTACCCTATAATTATGCTCTTTCACATAACAAAGACCCAGGACTGAACAAATGGCTGGCGACTTCAATTGCACCTCATTAATGAGAATTGGTGTATAACTGAAATACGTTTGAAATCGCATCGTTGTCCTTCATACAGATTTGTGTTCTGTAATTACAATGATGAACTGATTGCTATTAGACTATAATTATGGCAAGTGGCAATATCAGTTCAATATCTGTTAATCCATAAGTCTGTGTGTATTTATCCACAATATTTTTGTTGGCATGACTGGTAGATATATGCAGGTTGCAAGGTGATTTTCGATGTACCTATGACCAGACAGTTATCGTTTCTTTTACACAAACCGTCATCAGTACCACGGCTGTTCACATCATCGGAATGAGGCTCAAAGTTCGACCATCCCGACAAAAGGATCCCAAATCGTTTATTTAATTCGCAAACGTCCTAGCTGTACACTCTATTTTTGTTTTTAGCAAATTCGGCAAACAACTTTGAATTGGAATAGAAACTTTGAGTTTTTTCGAGACAGTTCTTTTGTGTCAAATGATTATTTCTGGAAGAAAAAAGTGTCTGTTGATTAGGGTGGGTATTGCAGAGAATTTTCATATTGCGATATCTTGCGATGCGAAAGCAAGTATTGCAATATGTATTGCAATATATTGCATGAAGTATTTTAAACTTATAATCGAGTTACTTCTTGATTTATAGAGCAAAAACACAACAAAATCACTAAGCTTGATTAAGCTTTAATAACAACTTTTAATCATGATAACATAAAAATGTGAATAATATTTGGCACAAATGAAACAAGGACATATCCGAACATTTCCGAGTGTTACGAAGTTTTCTGAATGCAAGTCAAAATACCGGTTTTCGATCAGCCTGTCGCAATTCGTATCGTGTTCATGTCTGAACCGGTAAATACCGGTAAACCGATTATATTTCGCAGCCCTACTGTTGATTACCTGTATATATCACATATTGCAATTTCGATTTTATAAACTACATGTTTATGTATATGTGAAAATTTGAAGATGATAATCTAATGATTATTTCTCAGCTTGCAAATTTGATTGTGCATATTTTGTACGATTGGAGAAACTGCACCTTTGATAACATATAGAACTGACTTCAAATTTAGGATCGAACTCGACACTGTATATTCAGAATATAAACTTCCTTAAAGTTTTTATACGATTTATTAGAATAAAGTGTAAATATATTCACATCAGTATATGTAATCTGAATAAATTCGGTCACAGCTATCTATTTAGTTCCTGTTGTATTTCCACCGTCCATGTAGGACCGAAGTCTCCACGTCTTTCAAAATTATTCCTCTTTATTTCAAACTTATCAGTAGCCCTGATATATTCTTAAAAATAAGATATTATTGCCAATATACTCAGCTCGGATAGTGGTGAAAGCGTTCTCTCGTCACGTCGAGAAAGTGATTGACTGCATCAGTTACAGCCTGACAGGATCCGAAGACCGTCACATCACTATCCGAGATCGAGTGGTTCAGCATATGAACAATGACATTAATGATGAACTAAAACATTTCCTGAACCAAAATGTCAATGAGTACATCACTAATTCGGGAATTTCACGAGATGGAGTGTGGGCAACAGATGCAGAAGTTATGTCAACAGCCAGTCTGTTAAAATGTGACATCTATATATACAGTGCAGTTGGTCAGTCAATGCAATGGCTGATGTACCCTGCCAGCTTCAGCTTGAAAACTCGCACTGATTATGCTTTGTATCTGGAAAATGTATCGGACCATTTCAATGTTGTAACCAGTGTTTAATTGTGTGAGAAGTACAATAAAATTATAGTAGTATCCTTAATCACTTGTTTTCTGTAGGGGCATAATCTGGGCTGGGGGGTATACTATGGCCTAGTTCAGAATATACCCCGGGGGTATAAACGAGGCTAGCCCAGATTATACCTGGGGTATAGTCTGGGCTAGCCCAGTTTAACCCCGGGTATAGTCTGGGACGGGTATACTCTGGCCTGTTACACCGGGTTCGATTCCCCACACGAGTACAATGCATGACGCCCATTATTGATGCCCCCTTCCGTGATTTTGTTGGAATGTTTTGAAACTTACTCAGGTGTGTATGAGAGTGTCCACACAGATCGTTGATAAGCGCTAACCTCAGTTACCACATATACAGGCACGGTGATAATGTTTACGCACTACTTATGTTGTCCAACTCAAATCAATAGCGGCGCGCAGGGTTGTTTTGCTAACCGTATGCTATATATAGGTACAGGTGTCGTTACGTCAACGGTACTAGATCAGGTAGTGCCCGCTGATGTGTAACTAAATACAGCTCCTTCGCTGTATGGAATGGAACTCACTGAACAATGGATTTTGCGTTCAATAATCATCTCTATATTAGTACTGGTATTTCCACAGTTTTCGTGGTTCCTTAGTTGATCTTAAAATACTCACTGACGTGGGAGAATTTCCACTAGACTCTGCTCCGTTCGGTGCATTATTCAAAGCCCAGTCGCAGTCGTGGTGCAGTATAAACAACGCATGTCGGATTCGGTTCTTCGTCAAATTAACTCAACTATTTACTCCACAGATTGACAAACTATGGAAAAACAGGGTATTGAGGATTCCACAACGAAGCAAACTGGAAGTGCAAGGTATGTAGAAAACATGTCATTACTGTCGTTTCTTTTAAGTATATCTCATAAAGCAAATGGCAAAAACTTTACAAACGAAATATCTCAAGTGAAGTAGAGGTACTGTACGAATCTGAGTATGTCATTGCCACGTGTTGAGGAAACGGGGTGTGTTTCCTGACCCGCTCAGGGTTGTTTCTTTGCATGAGTGTTTTGGCAGATAATCCATACATATTCCCCTTTTTGGGGCGAGGGTCTTTCATTAGGGTTTGAGTTGTAGTCAGGTTGTAGTTTCCCGAACCAAAAGTTATGGTATCAGACAGGCATCATGATATGTACACCGATTCTTGATCCAAAGTTCGGACCTTATTTCGAGTTTCCTATCTCAAAATCTCACATTAAACATTCTTTCATGATTTCCTAAGTGTCATCTCGTGTTTGCTGTTATTTCGTTATCACTTAATTTGAATTATCCACAGTTTGGGATGTTTAGGTTGTACAAAAATAGTTCATAACAATTTACGATTCCGGTTTTTTTATTCAGGTCTCCAACTGTGCCAGACCTTCTCGACATTGTCGAAGAATGGGCAACGAAGATGTACAAAGTAACAAAACCTGAGGCTAAAGATATTCGTATGGATATAATATGGAAGAAGCTGAACTTTACCTCGTCTTTTGATGATTTTGAGAACAAGAAGTATGTCAAAGATCCAGCCCCACAGGTGCTACTTACAACAAGCTTCGAGAATCATACGAAGAAAAACCAACCTCAAGAATTTGAGGCCAGTGAAACATCAACTTCTACTGCTACTACAACTCTTAAAAGGGGATTTACTCGGGGAAATACAGGGGATATAAATCTCACTGTTCCTAAGAAGATTCGGGCTACAGCGTCTCATTTCAACGAGGAAATTGTAATCAATGAAGATGGGAAAAAGACTGAACGAACCAGAAAGTGGAAGGGGAAGACATCGTTTGATGCCATTGCTCAGAAAAACACAATTGTCCAAATGTTAATTCTTCAAAAGGAATACCATTGTGACTTCACGATGACAGAGACTCTCCGTGGAACGGTCATTGCTAACATTACAAGCAACATTTCCGAAGTTCCAGTTACTGCGCAAAGTTCTATTGTCACTATCTTTCAAGATTTTAAGGACCTGTTTCCTGATTACGTCACTTGCAAGGGAAACCACATCGTCTGGCCGATCGAAGGACATATTGCATTCAGATACGGGGTTGAAGTGAAAACAAGGTATTGGTATGAAGAAATACCGGAGGACAGCAAAAGAAAACCCCAAAACACTGTAGAAGGAAATCGTGAGGATCGTGAAGACCAAAGCCAAGTAGAAGATGATGACATCGCGGGTGGCCACGTAAGTGCAGACAGCTCGGATGACACTACCGACTTCGATGGTGATACACTGGATGTTGATGAAGACTTGTTTGGTTACACAAGAAGAATTTTTTTCTGAACACCATCGTACTTTCCAGATGTCTTTTGCCGGCTGCAACCATCAGCTGCGTCAAACAACATTCACTCTATCACACACTATTCTATTACAGAGCTCTTACTGTGGTTCAGTCAGCTGCTAGCATGCTATAGGTCCTTGTCTACAGAAGAGCTCTTCATCTTCGTTTTTACGATATGTTGTTCTTAATTCCCACCGACTCGAAGATCCGGGTTAGAATTGGCCTTCAGCATCCCATGCTTGTCGTAAAAGGCGAGTAACGGGATCGGGTGGTCAGGTTCGCTGACTTGGTTGACACATGCCATCGTATCCCATTTGCGTAGATCAATGCTCATGCTGCTGATCACTGGATTGTCTGGTCTAGACTCGATTATCTTAAGATCAACGCCATATAGCTGGAATATTGCTGAGTGCGGCGTTAAAAACACGACCAACCAATCAACCCAATTCCCACCAAAGTTTAAGAGAGTTTATTCTATCACATGGAGAGGATGTATGCTTCTTTTGGGACTTACCATAAAGTTTTCTCATTTGCACCTGTACAAAATAACTGCTGATATAACAACGGTTATCATATTGGACAATACTCAAACGAAAGATAAGAAAATAATAGTAATGAAGAATCTGAATGATCGGAGTTGCGAGAATTGAGAATACTTAAGTCGATTTCTTTTTGCCTTTCGCATGTACCTTCAGTGTTTTTTAAAGTCTGAATGTCACCACCAATAAGAATAGTTTGGGTTGCCCCTTATCTGATCTGTTAAAAAGGTTTTCGTGTGGATGATTCACGCTCAGTTTTGTCGGGAACTCCTCTCCTGAAACATTTACCTTCTGCTTGCTGTATGTGTATGTGTTGGACAAAGCCTGATCGGTTAGTGTTATGCTGTGAACTGGTTTGCTTTTAGGATGCCCCGAAACCGAAACCCCCATCATGGACTGGAAATCTACTTTTTACAAGTACGGGTTCGTGGCCGTCATTGGACACTGTGTCAGGAGGAGGAGAAATCGTATTTGCAAATTCTCAAAAACGTCTTTCGCTTCACAGCCTTAATTCGAGTTTATCACAGCGGAGCTTGATGGACTATACAGAATACCTGAGGGACAAGGCCGTTTCTCAACAGTGATGAAGGTACAATGTCTTATGAAATATTTTAGTGTTTGAGAAGGAGCGAAAGGGACAAAGAATATAGACGTTCTGGTGAAACATATAGACACTTGTTTTAGATAACCAAGACTACAAAGTTAGGGATGTTAGATTCTAAGTGGCTGACGGCTTGCACATTGAGATCAGTTTGTTTGTACAGACCAGGTCTTTGGTGTTGGAATGAGTGAGTGAGTGAGTTTAGTTTTACGCCGCTTTCAGCAATATTCCGGCAATATCACGGCGGGGGACACCAGAAATGGGCTTCACACGATGTGCCCATGAGGTGTTGGAAGTAGTTTCATTGTGAATAATTACGTGAAGTAAGAAACCAAAGAAATTATTTTCGTTAACTTTGTTATGCATAATAATTATATGGAGGGAATGTGTATCAACATTCTAATATATTTGTGCAGTGCCAGTACCGTTATATTGTTGTTGTTACAGTATGTTTAGACGCTGGCCTGTGTTACATTTTAAAAAAAATGTTTTATGTATTAACTTTCAATAATATAAATTATTTTAGCTATTTTTTTTCGTTTTCTTTGTTGTGCATAACATTATGTTTTAGAAGCCTGACTTCGTTACCAGTTTACCTGAAATGTACTGATACTATTCGAGTTGATTGTAAACCATTAAACAATTTACATGCGTATACATCCTGTAAATAAATAATTTAAACAATTACGTGTCGTTTTCACAATTTACTCCAATATTTACAACTCGCGTATCCCTCCAATTCTATAACATAATTTATTAAACGATATATTTCAGATATTGTTGAAAGAATACATCATTCCAAAGTTATCAGCCCTCATTGCAATTATGAAAGTAAAACTGGTATTCCACATTTCTGCAATAATCAGCAACCACTCTACGATTCTGATTATTTCATGTGAATGTGTCTATGAATCGTCACGTGTGTGTGGTACTTCGTTAAAGCGGTTGGGTAGCCTAGTGGTTAAAGCGTCCGCTTGTCACCCTGGTTCCATTCCCCCCCACATAGGTACAATGTGTGGAGCCCATTTCTGGTGTCCCCGCCGTGATATTGCTGGAATATTGCTAAAAGCGGCGTTAAACCATACTCACAACCTCGTTAAAGCTGTTGGACAATACGATGTGGAGGCACACATGCCAGGGAACCTCAACCTCCTCCACACGTCAACAACTGCCAGGTTGAATACACCATGTGATTTAGAAAGTGGTCAAATGTAACATATGCTATATGTGGGGTTACATATTTTGGTTGAGTCCCATCCCTCCGCGGCTTCCACCAAAATGGAATCCGGACAACTGTTTGTCTACTTCATGTACTATCGGCTAAGATCCGGGATGGATCTGATCTCCAGTAACCCATGCTTGTCTGAAGAGGCGACTAACGGGATCGTGTGGTCAGGCTCGCTGACTTGGCTGACACATGCCATCGTATCCCAATTGCGTAGATCGCTGCTCATGCTGTTGATCACTGGATTGTTTGGTGCAGGCTCAATTATTTACAGATCGCCGCAATATAGCTGGAATATTGCTGAGTGCGGCGTAAAACTAAACCCACTCACTCACTCACTACTTCACGTACTTTTATGGAGCCCTCTGATAAGTGTAAATTGGCACGGCTTCGATTTAGCCGTGAATACACAATGCCATTTAGGAAATGATCAAATGTAACATCTGTTAACTTTGGAATTACACATATGTTTATATGTGATATGTAAATTATAAATGTTATTGAAATGGATTGTATATATGATGAATACGTAGTGCTAACTACAAGCAGTACCATGCCGACATCCAATAGAGTTATGCCGATTTCCAAAAGTAATCTGGATTTTTATAGACAGACAGTGCATGCTCTTTGCTGCACAATTTCAACTGGAAGGTGATTTCTGTTGCGTTGTGGTGATGCCTTTTTAATCCTTGTAAGAAATCTGATCAAAATCAACATTTTCAAGTAAGGCCGATTGTTTACTTGTGCAATTATGTAAAATCATGTTATCAACACTGTTGTTACATATTTTGTCAATTGTTTGAACACGATAGGTAATTGATAGATTTTTTTTTAAAATACAAAACGCCTATGCGTTTCTTTTTGAATAGTATATTTAGACATTCTACATGTAGATTGAAGTATTGAAGTAAAGGGAATACAGAAGAAGAGTATGCATATAACTTTTCCACTACTGTTATACTGAAATTAAGATAAACATTTAAATAAATATTTAAATACAGAGTTGTAGCGAGGGCAGTCGGCATCAAACATCCGTGAAAGTACACAATCAGTTAATATATCATGCAGCAACCATTCTTTGGTCCAAATATACAGGTAAAAGTGAAGTCTGCTCTGGTTAACCGTCTGTTGGTGTAATAATTCGCCTTCTATCAGATACAGGCTGTTTGTTAAAGATTCGATCGGCGTTGTCATTGCACGAATTTGTTTAGGGAAAACATATTCGGAAGAGAAATTGAAACAGATTGCCCATTACACTTGTTTAAACTATAGTTTAAAAGTAAATAATTTAACTGATGACTTAACTGCTGCCGTATGTTAGTGAAGAGTTAACTTAAAACTGTAAACAATATATACAACAATAACTAAGGTAAATCTGTCGAGGCATGAAGCACCTACTTTGTTTCCAATAGCGGTCCAGGGCTACTTCAGGGGGCGGTGGGGTAGCCTAAAGGTTAGAGTGTCCGATCGTCACGCTGAAGACCTGAGTTTGATTCCCCACATGGTTACAATGTGTGAAGCCCATTTCTGTGTCCCCGTCGTGATATTGCTGGAATATTGCTTAAAGTGGGGTAAAACAAAACTCACTCACTCACTCTTACATCTTCCCTGATGAATGGGAAAAGGCGATAATGCTGTACACTTTTACTTTTCGTTCTGGCTCACACGACGATATGTTCAAAAAATCGATGGTTGCTAATATATACATGTATTGTACATGGAAACTGTGGTATGGGCCTTTAACTATGCCGTTATATCTACGACTGCGTGATAAGATAAGGACCAGTCTCTGGTACCAGGATCATGTTGCCATGGAAGGTAGGAGAGATTTATTGAAAATATGAATTCCGAATATAGTGTTGGTATAAATTACTATAATGATATCCGAATACCATAACGTGCTCTTGTTATAAGAGATAAAATGCTATGAAAGCCAAGACGCCTCCCATCACTGATATCTGTACCATATGTGATTATTTCAAAAACATATTTTTCCCAATAGGCCCATGTAACAAAACAAAATATTTCTCTAACATGGATGAAGTATTTTCCTTGTAGAATCCCTGCTCGTTCATAAAATATTATAATAAATAGAAGCGACAAAGCCGACAAGGCATCGCCATGTTAACTCGGTAAACAACACTGACCTTATTGCGATATCTATTATTAGGTTCGAAATCCACGAGGCACTGGCATTGCACTCTCTCCCTCGTCTCTCTATCCGTCTCTCTTACACACACACATTCTCTCTCTCACCACCCGTACTATACACACATCTTCTCTCTCTCCACATATAAATACATTCATGTTCTCTTTCTCTCCACACACACATATATTCTCTCTCACACCACACATACACATATTTACACACATATTCTTTCTCTCCACACACACACACATCCATATTCTCTCTCACCACACACACATATATTTTCTCTCACCACACACACGTGCATATACGCTCTCTCACCACACACACACACACACATTCACATAAATTCTCTCCTTTACATAGGCAAGCTCACACAGAGAGAGTGAAGAACACAAATATGCACATGCCGTTCTTTCGATCATTTATATGAAAACTTATTGAAAAACGTGCCACGTGATCTTCAGATGAATACTAATTGCATGACGAGCCGGGTGCTCTGCGTATGAACACTCATGGACATTATTTTATCTCCAGATGCTTCTGTGTTCCAAGGTTTTGGCACTGATGGTGCTATACGTATGAACACTCATGGACATTATTTTATCTCCAGATGCTTCTGTGTTCCAATGTTTTGGCACTGATGGTGCTCTAGGTATGAACATTCATGGACATTATTTTATCTCCAGATGCCTCTGTGTTCCAAGGTTTTGGCACTGATGGTGCTCTACGTATGAACACTCATGGACATTATTTTATCTCCAGGTGCCTCTGTGTTCCAAGGTTTTGCACTGATGGTACTCTACGTATGAACACTCATGGACATTATTTTATCTCCAGATGCTTCTGTGTTCCAAGGTTTTGGCACTGATGGTACTCTACGTATGAACACTCATGGACATTATTTTATCTCCAGATGCTTCTGTGTTCCAAGTTTTGGCACTGATGGTGTTCTACGTAAGAACACTCATGGACATTATTTTATCTCCAGATGCCTCTGTGTTCCAAGGTTTTGGCACTGATGGTGCTCTACGTACCCTGTGTGTCATCATTTCTCCTGCAACCTGACAACGCTTGTCCAGCACCTTACCCATGTCTGTGTCGAGGTGACAGCATCCATTGTGGTCAAGCCCAGCTCAAAACTATACCCGTCTTTACAGCATCACGCAAGTCATGGTCCGTCTACCTCAACTACAACAGCATCTCTGTCATTCCAGATAACGCATTTAAGAATATCAAAATCAAAGAATTAATCCTGGACACGATGAATCTATTGAAGCCTGTGACCATTGCTGATAATGCCTTCCAGGGACAAGAAGCAACCTTGAATAAACTCAGTATGGTCAACTGTGGGCTGACCTCTCTTCCTCCAGCTTTCAGAAAGCTGAATGCCTTCACCGACCTGGCTCTGGATGGCAATGCCATTTCTCAATGGGACAACGACGCTATGCGTACCCTCGGGAGGGGCCTGACCAGATTCAGTGCCAGATCCTTCTCAGGAACTTCCTACGCATGGACTCGTCAGTTTGCCTACATGAGAAGACTTGAATTCCTGGATCTCTCTGACAGTCCGCGTTTTGTTCCAGATTTGGACAAGTTCGTTCTTCTGAATGACACGCTTACAAAGTTAATTTTGATCAGGATGGGGATGACCCAGGTACCCGACGTTTTAAAGCATTTTCCCAAGCTGACAGAGCTAGATATGGGCTATAATAAACTGACGGAAACTAGTATCAAGGGGGATTCATTTGCATCTCAAACTGAACTCCAGTTCCTTACAATCTCCTACAATCAACTCAACACAACCCCCGATGGACTTTCAAATTTGAAGACTGTCACCTATCTGGACATTAGCGGGAACCCAATGACGACGATGGACATCTCAAAGCTGCCCACCGGTATTGTACGATTGATTGCAAATCACGGTGGCCTGAAAACGATCCCTGCTAATCTTCAACGGTTGACGAAGTTAGAAGAGCTCAATATGTACACCAATCACATAACAGCTATCAGTGAGAAGGACCTCAGTCATTTGCCAAATCTTAAAACAATCTTCTTGGGAGGAAATTATTTGACTTCGCCCTTGCCTGTCAATGCGTTAATTGGAGATACAAATCTGGACCAGACAGCTCTCTTTAGAGTTTAACAGACGTAACAATGTCGTGTTCTCCTTCTGTGTTATTCGCTCCTTACCAAAGCTGTTGTACCTGACAGTACAGAATCCAGTATGCACCTGTTCAAGTGACATTCCCCAGTGGTGGAGCGGAGTCACAAAGAAGCCGGACCTTGAAGGTCACTGCCTCAACACGTCTAAGAAAATGAAAGACTTGCTCACAAACTGTCAACCTTAGATTGTTAACCAGAGCTATTCAGCGGGTTCTAGGATTATCATGTCTAAAATAGACCTGTTATGTCTTCGCCTGTGCTTCTTTTAATTCTAGTGCACATAAACACGTTTCTGTTTATTGACAAAGTGTGCGAGAGAGACCGATTATATACCTATATATACTGATGCAAGGAGGTACACCAGGTAAGCAGATTAATGTGTGTGTGTGTGTTGGTGGTGGTGGTTTGTTTGGTCCGAAACGCCGTGTGTGTGTGTGTGTGTGTGTGTGTGTGTGTGTGTGTGTGTGTGTGTGTGTGTGTGTGTGTGTGTGTGTGTGTGTGTGTGTGTGTGTGTGTGTGTGTGTGTGTGTGTGTGTGTGTGTGTGTTTGTTTGTTTGTTGTTGTGGTGGTGGTGGTGGTGAACCGCCTCCGTGGTGTAGTGGTTAGAGCGTCCGCCCGGAGAGCGGAAGGTCGCGGGTTCGATCCCCGACCGCCTCATACCAAAAGACGTTAAAATATGGTACTTGTTGGTCCCTGCCTGGCGCTCGGCATTAATGGGTACAACAAGGACTGGTCGGCTCGGAGTCAGTATAATGTGTCTGAGTGGGGTATTCATGCTTCACTGCGGCATGGTATCTCAGTGGGCTAGCACTATAAAACCAGCTTAAGTCTGGGCTAGTACAAGCAGCCGCACATACACATACACACGCATACACGTCGTCATATGAGCGAAATATTCTCAAGCACGACGTTAAAGCCAATTTCACCTCACCTCACCTTGTTGTTGGTGGTTTGTTTGGTCTGTAACGCCATGTGTGTATGAGTGAGTGAGTGTAAAGTGTGTGTTTTTGAGTGTGTTTGTGTGTGTGTGTGTGTGTGTGTGTGTGTGTGTGATGTAAAGTGGGTGGGTGTCTTCAGCTCCTGCAGTTTTGTAGATACACTTTAAAAGCTCTCCTACGAATCCAAAACAGATGAGATTACACTTTACGAGAGAACATGTTTATGAACACAGTTAAGGTCCTTGCTCACGTCATCCTTGACTTGCGTCCTCGCTCCCCGGACTGTTCAGTCACAGCTAAATGTTGACACGTGTTCACACGGGATTTCAAACCTCTTCGGACCAAAACATGGGACAAGTGTATTTTTGTTTCACAGAAAATGTTTTACCTTAAAGAGATTTGACCAGTAACAACGCCCCAAGGGTTGGGGTGTACAGGTGAGGAGGGTAGGGAGACGTATTTCAACCACACACTGCTGTCTTCAGATATCGTGAGGTAGTGGATACCTTACTTTAAAACATCGATGAAGAAAATGATCCTCGACGAATTACAGTGCAATTATATGTTTCTAATAAACACATATATGATTAACACCAGACAATTATAAAAGACTGTAAATATACGCATATATAGATACAATTATATTCACCACAGCTGTTATTGCGTGTCAAAACTGCGCCTACGCCTTCAATCTGGAAATACCCAGGCTATAAATAGAGATTGTCTCGGCGTTGTCACGTGATCGTGAGAGTAACGTATATCAATGCAGCAGTGTCATTCTTTAAATATCATTCAGTCATGTGATACCCAGGAATTAAAGATCTCATGTGCACAAATGTTGTTTAACAAACCATCAGCCATATGCGACGCTACAACGGCTGTGTGTTAACAAAGCAGTTTTGACAAAGCATGGTTGTGGATAGCTGCCGTGTTTAGCCTCAGAAGGATCTCCTTGAACTGCTATGGTTGGAAGATAGACCATTCTGCACAGTGTCATCACCTCATCACCATGCTGCTTTAAACAATAGCTCAGTGTTCTATACATCCTTATCTTGCCAGGGCATATCTGTGTGTTGTTCGAGTGATACATATGTCACATACTAGCAATGACATTCATCCCCGAGTTGGTGTTCAATTCCAACTGGGACGGTAGGGTAGCCTAGTGGTTAACGCTTTCGCTCGTCACGCTGAAGATCCGGGTTTACTTCCCCACATGGGTACAATGTGTGAAGCCAATTTCTGGTGTCCCCCGCCGTGATGTTGCTGGAATATTGCTAAATGTGGCGCAAAACCAAACTCACTCACTCACTCGTTAAGTGATGAATATACATGTGTTTCAGTTTTCTAATTAAACCACACACACACACACACACACACACACACACACACACACTCACACACACACGACACACACACACACACACACACACACACACACACACACACACACTTCACAAGTTTACAACTCGGAAATTGAAAACCGATAGCACAACTTAGAGATGCTCACCCCACATAAGTATCAATACGACGTTATAATACCCTGTTTTGATTACCTTTGAAGCTCACCCACCCGTAATATGATAATATGAGAGTATTTGAGCGTTAAGTCAACAGGCAGCAGAGGTTCTTCAGGTCGTGGAAGTTTACAACTCAGGAGAATTGACTTGAAACATTAGGCAGAACGATAGCTCAATATATACAGTCATCTCATCACATACAGATCACCTCGGTGAATACAAACACCTCAATGTCTTTGTTGTAAAACAGATCACCTTTTAATATAAACGACCACCTCCAATATATACAGTCACTCATCAATGAAAACCAGCACCTCAATATAAACAGTCACCTCAATATAAACACCCACCTCAATATATACAGTCATCTCAATGAAATCAAGCACCTCAATATAAACAGTCACCTAAAAATAACCAGGCAGCTCAATATATACAGTCATCTCAATATAAACACCCACTTCAATATATACAGTCACCTCAATGAAATCAAGCACCTCAATATAAACAGTCACCTCAAACAAACACCCACCTCAATATATACAGTCACCTCAATGAAAACAGGCACCTCAATATAAACAGTCACCTAAAACAATACAGGCAGCTCAACATATACAGTCATCTCAATATAAACACCCACTTCAATATATACAGTCACCTCAATGAAAACAAGCACCTCAATATAAACAGTCACCTCAATATAAACACCCGCCTCAATATATACAGTCATATCCTATCTTAATATATAGAGTGATCTCAATATAAACACCCACCTCAATATAAAACCACCTTACTAAAAGTGCATAAAACACTCACTCACTCAATTCTAACTAAATTCCTCATTTAGTGGAATGGTCTGTTTCCAGTAGGGAGGGGGTAGGGGAATATATAATATATTTTTAAATAGGGATAATGTTTTTTCTTGTAAATGGTTGAAAAAATATATTTCGTTCTGTTTTAAACTGCTTTCAAGCTACCTGTAACAAAACAATGTCCTTAATTTAGGCTCGTAATTTACAAAAGCCCCTTTACAGTTGGGTACGTTGTGCTGTATCCTGCTGAAATACTGCTTAAAGATTGCAAAACCATACTCACTCACCCAAAGAGTTTAGGTCTAGTGTACAATCACAGTCACACAACGTTAACTATTCTAACGCAGATTCCTGTTTGGCTTGGAAGTAAGCTTTACACTGAAAGAAACAAATGTCCTTGATACACGATATAAGGTTATATTTGCTCAAACAGATATTTATATATATATCGTCAGTTCGATTCAGTTCACTGATCAGATGTTCACCAGTCTAGGTAAATTTGAAATGAGGCTCTCCCAGACAGACAGAGATTTAACTTCCTACACTCTAGCAAACCAAGAGCAACGTTTCAGGTCGCAATTTTAAGCCCATATGGCGTCAAGCAAACAAAGAAACAAAATACTTGATTGAGGAAGGAACATCCGCCTTTAATGTGAAAACACAGGTAACACCGTTCACACATACAGTTATTCTGTCTGTACCTTTGAAAACAATGACAATGTTGATGAATATAAATTTTACTAAACTTTAGCATACAATCAGCAAAGTACAATATTTCCCTGGAACACACTGTCAGGATATCGTATCTCAAGGCATCCATCGCTTATTGCTTCAAAACGTGTTGCTGTATTCTGTGTAAGGGAGAACCGAACAATCAGTTTGGTTTTAAAGTAAATGTATAATCAGTTTAGTTTAAGTAACTGAATAATCAGTTTAGTTTAAGTAACTGAACAATCAGCTTTGTCTAACTGAACAATCAGTTTTGTTTAAGAAATTTACATATAAATATCCATTGTTGACATCAACAAATCCCCTTCGATATATCATTTGAGAAATGCATTTTAACGTCAGCCCAACCTAGGTTCTGGAATCCACTCCAGTAGGTAGTTGCTCTTGTGCAAGGTCCATTTCTTGTGACACGCCATGCGAGACATGTAGTTTACCAATAACTGGCCACTTGACCATGTCTCCCTGAACATAGGCACAGTTAGGGAAATATATTTCACTTCGGTATATTGCGTCTCCGATGATAGTTGCAATGTCACCCTCGACCTGAATTCGAACCTGACTGTTGTCAGTGGTGTTTACAACTACCACAACGACCCGTCCCTGTATACCCACGGTGGTTCTGAAGCGGCATTTGAAACGTTTCTCAACGACCCTTACCATGGCAGTGGTTCTCCGCATAGGTGGCGCTGTCACGCTGTACTTGATCACCCAGGAAATAGAGTTATCTGCCCTGTTGTCTTCCTCACCGGCGATGAATATGCCGTTGTTAAACGCGGCTGCGACATCTTCGGGAGCGGTAAGTTTTATACCTACATCCGCACCACGACAAAAACCTCGTCTTATTGTAACCCTCGCTGTCGCCGATGTCGTGCGTTGTTCTCTTATCTCATGGTCATGCGTGACGTCGGTGTGGTTGTCGTAATTGGCCTTGAAAAGGGACGTTGATCTGGGTGTTTTGTAATCGTATCTCCCAAAGAAATACGTGGGCTGCTCTGTACTAAATCGGACACCATCCCACACCACGTGTAGCTGGTAGTCGTTGTAGTCGTGTTGTCCTTTTGTTTTAATAAATGTCGCCCACGCCCACTTCTTAATGACGTCATCAAGGTCCGTCAGTTTGCTTGGCATGTTGATATCTAGGGCAAAGGGTAGATGACTGATTACGAAATGAGATCAAATTCTAAACATAAAGTGATTTTAGTCTTACGCCGCTTTTAGCAATATTCCCGCAATACCACGGCGGAGGACACCAGACATGGGCTTAAAACCTAATATTATGTTTCTGCTCTTCACAGACGTAGAGTCAACATCAAATGTTACAAATTAATTTGAATTTTGTTCAAATATAATTTTTTGTCCCTGTGTTACCTAAATGCTGTCTCGTCTATTCCACTTTGGTCCCCAGATTTCCGTGTTGCCTTTGGTTTCTGACAGTCTCGTTATTTATATCTCACTCACTCACTCACTCACTCACTCTATGAAGTGATGACAGGTTAAACTGATGCTCAGCAGCTACCGAGGTCGTGGGGTAACGGATTGGGTAGTCTATCTCGGCACCCTGGTTCGTTGCATGCTATTGTAACCCGTTTATGTTCATAATATCAATCACAGGTTTGTCTGACCAAAAGAATGTAATGCGGTGTTAAATAGCAAAGAACCTTAATATGTGAAGCTCTGTATGTATATCCATATTCTTGTAGTAATGGTGTATTGTGTATGTCGCCAAATTGTATAAACGTAGTGTATATTATGTGTATCACAGTATGCATTATTGTTTCATGAACACACACACACACACACACACACACACACACAAACACACACACACAAACATATTTATATATGTTATTGATATATATACATAAGAATGTATCACTGTAATATGGGCTGGATGACCTAATTCTCGGATAAACATTGATTAAATCATAATATGAAACCTGGATGATATTTAAAGTATGATGTATAGCAAAACGTGTTCAACATACCAGAATGGCACCAGTACCGAGTAATTCCTGAACACGATTTGAGCTATGTCATGCGACGTGCTTCATAGGTCAGATCACATGACACATCGGTTCGTATATGTGAGTGTGTGAGTACCAAGTCGTTAGGCAGTAAAGTGAAAATGGGGATAAACCTATCAGGTGATATCTGACACGACAGCACTGTATTAGGAACGTATGCGTCCATCTGCCACGTCTACATGTACGGCGACAAAGGACCAGTGTTCAACCCATCCGTCAGGTATATTTGTGTACAACGACTTACCTGGTATTACCGTTCCCGAGGGGAATCCCCGAAGTATTGACAACAGTATCCGAGGTACAGATAGTTTGTAGATTGCAATCAAAAGATAGGGCCTGGCATGCGCTGGGTGATATCGATTATCGACTTGCAGTGAGCGCCTGTTAGAACACCCGTCATTGCAGTGCATGTAATATTGATATATAAGCCCTGTTAATAATCGTAAATTCGCATGCTTGTATTTTATACACGTTCTTGTACATTTACTATGCAAAAGTGACCGATTATGCAGTTTTACCTACATATCTACATTTGCTGAGACCCGTGAATATCCGGGTTAGAATTGGTCTTCAGCTTGTCCTAAAAGGCGACTAACAGGATCAGGTGGTCAGGCTCGATGAATTGGTAGATCATGCTCATGATGTTGACCACTGGATTTGTCTGGTCAAGATTCTTTACAGACCGCCACAATATAACTGAAATAATTCTGAGTGCGGCTTTAAACAAAACAGAAATACCCAAACAAATACTTGAAAACCAGCTAAGCATGTGACATGCGCGCGTGTGTACACGTGATAATGTGTGGGTCCCTGAAATGAAAGGTCAACCAATTTATTCTGTTAACGATATCCTTCGGCTGATATAACTTGAAACTTATGCACAAAAAAGCTAGGAATCCATACTTCAGCCAGTCATTACTATATCCATGGGAGAAACAAGGTTAATTACTCGTGGAATATTTACTTACATACATTTTTAAATACAAACATTATTGACAGTGTATTGACGAAACAGATCTGGGGTTCATTTACGAGCTTTTAATAAGACGGAATTCGATTTATTAAAAGATTTAAGACCAATACCACGTGACATTCATCTGATATCACAACATTACGTCAGCCAACGTCAAGTGCGACTGCGTCTACATAAATACATGGGGTGTATAAGCTGCAGAATAATGTACTCTTCTATCGGTTCAACTGATTTTCTCGCCATGGGTTGCCTGTTATGGTTATGCACTGTTTCCATGAATTAGGCGGAATGCAGTGTCTTCACATATAGATACCCTTTCCATAGGGTTAACCGCTAACTGAAACTAATAACCCTTTATCTCCACGGAAATACCCCCAGTTGCAGATGTTATAGATACCATTCAGGGATTCCAGGAATAGGTACACGTCACGCGGTGATAAAACTGCCTGACATATGGCACACCTCGACTATATAATGAATGGTCTAGCTCACCCCCTCAGTATTAAATGGTTGATATTACACCAGGGCGGAAGGTGGCATAATGCAACAGAACATGGCTTACCGTCCTGATATTCCCTCAGGTGAGTAGGTGTGCGTGCGTACGCGTGTGTGTACGCGCTCGTGTGTATCTATTATACGTATTTATATTTTACGCAATGTGATTTTTGAACCTGTCAAACCCCGTCAAACCGCCATATGGCATCACATGTCAGTAGTGCTAAAGCTGCCTTTGACTTTGGTGAAGCCCACGTGAAAAATAATGGATCGAATAACAATAGTGTGACGTCACAGTTGTTTTGTATCACTTCGTATTTATTCGTTGATGCATGTCTTGGTAGTATTTCATGATTGACGGTGCACAAACTATCACCAAGGTTACAACTATCGATCACACATATTTTCAGAGGGGATCTCACCTTAAACCAGTAAGACTAATGAGGGTTGGGTGTTTAAAATGTGTGACCAAGATCAGTGTCGTCGTTTGTTTGTGTTTAACGCCGCTCTCCAGCAATATTCCAGCACTGTGACGGAGGCCTGTTAATTATCGAGACTGGACCAGGCAATTCAGTGATGTAATCAACTGACATGCATCAATCAAGTCATCGAGACTGACCACACTATAGTGTCAATCGCCTATTACGACAAGACAGTTCTAGTCATGTTTCGGCGTACCAATGAAACTCAGGCCTTCATCGTGAATATCTGCGCTTTTGGCCACAGACTTCACCATGCTCTTTATCTAGGCAATTAGCGACATAGTACATCCACGCAAACATACATACAGCTGTACATGTCACTAGTGAAAAGTGATTGTACCTATGACAATTGTAAGTGTGCATTAAACAATTCATGATAGTCCAGGGATACGAACGCTATTATCTGTTACATATTTTGAATTACATAGTTACGTAAATATACACGCAAGTTTACCAACAACCGAACGTGGGTATTTCCTCTTGAAACGAAACATTTTGACCACGTGAAATTCAGATATGATACTGTTTACAGTTTCAGGTACGTCCACGAAAATTACAGACATTAGCACAGTGTTCAAGGAGTGGGCATGGACGACCTATCTCAAGACACCCAGACAACCTGTACTTTCCAGAAAGTTGAAGCTTACAGAAGCTGATATCGAGTTGAAATGGCATAGAGTGAAGATCACGTCCCTAACGCCACAGTACACGAAAGTTGAGGCGACTCCCACTAAAGTACACGTTCTCTACGACTCCAAATACAATAACAGTACCAAGGATGACCAAGAACAGACATTCAGGGCTGAGAAGGAGACAGTTTCCACAGCAACCACCAAACTAACCAAAGGTTTTTCCAGGGATATAAACGTCGGCATCGAACTTACCCTTCCTCCAGATCTTGACCAACCTTCCAAAGCAGAGGCCAGCTTTGGACATCGACTGAATGTGGATAACGAGGAACAGAACACTGTTGAAAGTAAGGTCAAGTGGTCTGTGGACACCAAAATCACCTCTAGACGTAATGTCGTCACTGTAGCTGAACTGGCAATAGAGGAGAAAAGCTGCCAGTATGAGTTCTCAATGGACGTGAAACTTAAAGGGACGGTCCTTGCAGTCATACGGGACGCCCGTGGTGAGAGGAGACACGTCATGACTGTCCAGGGGGACGTGGCTACCGTTCTGAGGGACATTAAAGACAAAGACAGATTTGGTAAACTTTTCAGTGTAGATATCAACAAATCTCGAACCGTTACCTGGCCCGTGTCCGGCTCTCTCCACCTTAAATACGGAGTGTCACAGACTGTCAAGATATATCAACTATAACCTTCGAAAAATGAGGGTTAGAATTTTGGCAGGAACATTTGTTCCAACTGCAGATATTCGGTTTTGATTCCCCAGATGGGAGTTATTCATGAAGAATATTTGTCGTTTCTGGAACGAGTTGTTACTGGACTGCTGCCAATGGCAACCCATTCCTAAGTACCGATGTCAAGCTTCGAAACTCACTGTCAGTAACAGCAGACATATTGATAATCAATTTCATTTTGTACAAGTCCTTGGACCAACGTACAGACATGGTTGAAGTGTTGTGCCTTGCTCCAGATACATTTTATGTCAGTTCAACCCAAGTGCATGACATCTATGAGACTGTCCGTGAATGACCTAACTGTGAAACCAACAAAAATAGACATATGCTGTAATTAACGATTAAATGTTTTGTGATGGATTCCATTATACCCACCAGTGTAAAATAGTCAATCTTCTTAAACAGGACAGAGCTTCGCGTGTGAAACTTCATGTGTCAAACACTGGAAAACGTTCCGATTATAATGTTCTGTGTTTCCGTATAGATTCTCATCGTGCATTTGAGAAACACAAATAGAGACGGTGTACGGATTAACACCGATTTATTACAGAGATGAATATGTGAGTATGACTGTGTGGTTAACTTGTATTGTCAACAGTTTTGTAATGGTAACGATATCAGAACTGATTTACAATTAATGTCATTATAATACAATACTGATGAATACCATTCCAGTGTTAATTTGCCCATATGTACATAAACCAGAAGACTGTACATCCCTAGCTGTCATTACATGTATCCATCTCGAACAAATTTTATTCAACTTCAAGCAGAAGAAAAATTATGTATGCAAAATGTTTATATACATTTCCAATGTAACATCGATGTTTTATTCATACAGTATAACATGTGATAAATGTTTAGCTTCGGTTAGTGGAATTAACCATGTTGCCTTTCTTGTCGAATAAACCTCTTCATCATCTACATCTTCTTCTGTTGTTTACGATGTCCTCAGAAGCTGTATAACCTAAATTCAGTAACGTTATCAACCCGTGAAAATCTGTTAGAATTTATGCTGTACTACTCGTAAGAGGCGACCGACGGGTGATATGGCTCACTGAGTCGCATCGTATCCTAATTGCGTAGATCGATGCTCATGCTCTCAGAAATTGAATTATACTAAAGTTTACTCACTGAACTGTGAAGAGATCACTAGCTGTTATTACCGCATGCATTCGCGTGGAAACCAAATACAAGACCGATTCTGAGCAGAATATGTGTTCGTGAAAAGCGTCAGCCCTCTTAACATTCTATAATAGCAATAATGTTTGTGTGTGTTTTAACGCCGCACTCAGCAACATTACATCTGTGTGACGACCGTCTGTAAATAACTGGACCAGACAATCCAGTGATTATCATCATGAGCATCATCCAGCCTGACCACACTGTCGCCTCTTACGACAAGCATAGGTTTCTGAAGAACAATTCTAACGCGGATTTTCAAGGGTTGATAACACTAATGAATTCAGGCTACACAGTTCCCGAGAGCATCTTTAACGATCAGCATGAAATCAAAGCTCCTATGACAGGATTCGTCTCATGGCTGCGAAAACGCAATACCCTGGAACGAATCTTTGGCAGCTGTGCGTTATTGTTCCTAATATAGAGCTGTCGTGTCAGAAAACAGCTGATGGGTTTATCCCCATTTTCACTTTCATGCCTGACGAGTAGGTGCTCACACACTCACATATTCGAACACGTATGTTTAACTGTGTTCGTACCACGGCTCAAGACATAACTCAAAGGGTGTTCAGGAATTACTGGTGTCATTCGGGTATGTTGAAAGAGTTGTGCTATACATCATACTTTAAATATGATACAGGTTTCGGCTTCAGGTTATTTGTGTTTGTTATTTAACGCTGCTTGTCAGTTATATCATCGCTGCAAACCTGTTCTCGAGTGTTGGCCAGACAAACCTGTGATTGATATCATGAACACTATACACGCTGACGGGTAACAATAACACACCACATCAAACAGATCAGTTTATCATACACAAACCTTACAAATAATTATGCCCTTCCGATTATTATTTTTCACACTTTCAGGTGTGTCTTAAACTACACACTACATGTAACGGTTGTTTAAAATGCCGGTCAAAGTGTTACATTGTGACAAGGATTTGTCAAACAGTAAGGTCCAGTGCTTAACACGTTTGCTATTCACACCTAAGATTAAGTTCGAAGCCCGTTTCAGATGCCCCTCACTTATATATACTGAAAAGCGGCGTAAAACCATACTCATTCACCAATGAGAATTGTTTATAAGGGATCGTTCATAACTTATGGCTGGGGTGGTGTGTGTGTGTGTGTGTGTGTGCGTGCGTGCGTGCGTGCGTGCGCGCATTCGCCATGTAGTAATATGTGTGTATGTATGTATGTGTGTGTGTGTGTATGTATGTATATACATATATATATATATGCATGTGTGTGCGTGTGTATGTATATATATATGTGTGATTTTGTGTATGTATGTATATATGTATGTGTGTATATATGTGTGTGTATGTGTGTGCGTGTATATGTGTGTGCATATGTGTGTGTTTATGTGTATGTGTGTGTGCGTGTGTGAGTGATGGTCATGTACAAAGTCAATCAGGCGAATACTTTTATTAATATTTTTATGTACAAAAATGATGACCCCCGCCCCCTTGCCTCCCCGGAACAAAATTGGTGACCCCCCCTGCCCCTTTAATATCAACAATCCAGTGATCTACGCAACACCTCGATCTACGCAATTGGGATACGTCGACGTGTCAACCAAGTCAGCGAGCCTGACCACCTGATCCCGTTAGTCGCCTTTTAGGACAAGCATGGGTTGCTGAAGACAAACCAAATGGTACGCCTACGGGCCACAATTCTTCACAATGAATCGCAGCACCTCACGAGAGTGGGCTAGATGCTCCTCTCATCCACACCTCGTATAGTCTACCATATACATATGTATGTTTTAAACTACACAGAAAGACAGAACAATCAGAACTACAAAATGTGCAAATTTATTTCAAAGTATGAAAACGTGATTTGTAATAACATTTAAAACATGACGACGGATAGTACAATTAGTGGAATATCAAAGTGTAGTAGGGCATCATAAAGGTATAACTAGTAGTTGGCGGTACAATATAAACCTAGCTATTTAAGGCCAACAATCCAAAGTATATCACAATGACAAAATCTAACGTGAATAGTCCTAATGATAAGAGCAATGTACAAAGGAAATGGTTAGACAATATGCGCCCTGCTCCAGGTCCATTAATAGTGCTTTACACTATGATCACAACTGTGACAATGTTACTTTGCATCCAAGGATTGTCTACACTACAACAGTATAAAAACATACTGGCCATAGTAGCCACACTGTTAGTATCAGTTCAGAATTCTTGACTCAACTGCCAAAGGAAAGACCTCCCTTGAGTAGGTGAGATGGATGACTCGAGACATTCACATATTAGAGTCAGTATTTTGTTTCTCCCACTGATTCACAATATAACAAGTTCTTCAACATAAGTACAACATATTTTCCTGTTAAACTGAGTATCACCAACCTTCTCCCCCAATAACAGCTATGGTATATCTTCCTCCGCAAGTGATGGATATACACTCCGGGTTGCCCCTGCTTGGCTTTTTGCTGCACCAGCGTCTTTTCCATAGGAAACCTTCACTTTCTGTGACACACCGTACCTGAACACCACACTGCCGTGTACAGGCAGCTCCACAGTACGGTTTTGACTGTCAAATATTAAATCATTCATACTGCCACCATTTCTGTTATTAATGTCTTTAAGAACAGTTGCCACGTTGTTTTCAACCACCTGCACGACTTTCTCCTGTTTCTCCTGTCCCGAATCACAACCACCACTCTCCCCTTTAGTTTGATGGCGCTGGTGAATGTATATTTTGCGCTCGTCTCCTCCACCTCCAACTTGGCTATGGTTTGTTTCTTACTCTTGGACACTATCGTTGTGTCCACAGACCAAGTCTTCTTCTTTCTGACAACACTGTTTTCATCAGTTCCCACGTTAATACTGTTCCCGAAACTGGCAGTCGCCATTTGCTTCTTTCGCGCATCTGGAGATTCATCGCCAGCGGTCATTCGTGACATTTCGTCCGGAAGGTCCATTTCAATCGTAGTATTCGCCTGCTTGCTGTAGCCTTTGGTCAACGTGATACTAGCAGTAGACTCCGTGTCCTGTTCCGTTTTGAAACTGTGCGTCTGGTCATTGTCTGTAGCATTGTCGTACTCCGCCTCAATGACCACTTTGGTTCCAGATTCCAGTCCCTCCAACTGCTTCACATACTTAGTTTCCTGGGTAGTAGTTTTTAATTTGTCCCATAAAATCTCAATGTCTGCGTGTTTATACTTCAGTTTGGGCCTGAAGAGCTTTGCGAAAAAGCTTGTACTTGTGTTCAAGTAATGCCTCCAAGCCCAATCTTGGAAATATTCCTGTAGATCGATGATTCTTTGAAGCATTTTGTTTATGTATCCCGACTGTCGTATTGCGCCGAGCTCAAGCACAGAGTGAGGCGTCTTTGCTGCTCTCGGTCTTTTATACCCTTCAGTTTGGAAACATTTCCCTTTTGTAATTCCCCTTGTGCAAAGAAAGCCGCCTGTTGTTTGAGCCCCGTCACTGTGATCACGTCTATTTATAACTCTTTGGGTTTTCCCAAGATTATTTGCCACAGTGAATTCTACCGCACTCTAAATTGGACACGTGACTCCTTGCTGAGCAGTTACGTAACCGCCGGCATAATGCATATGATGTCAGTGATCACATACGAGTTATACTGACACACCTAGAAACATCTGTGCAACATAATGCCATCAACTCCACATTTACAAACATTTTATTTTATTAATAGCGAACTGCTTCATGGTGCATACTATTTGTGAAGCAAAACGTATCACACTGCCTCATAACAGTACATAAGTAAGTAAGTAAGCATATATTTGTTTACATGGAGTAGAGGTAACCATTCTTATACACAGGTTGTGGAATTACAAATTGAAAGGTACATGTGTATATATAGACCTGAGTGTTCTGTCTCAACTCAGTGGAACGCATAAATTTGAGCGACGACCCCACGAATCCCTTGTGCGCATGTACACATAATATCTATTTTTAGTCATCCGGTCTTTCCAATGTTATGGCTACTTCTATGAATAGACACACGTCTCCCTCCCACAACTGCGATGCAAAACATTTCAGTGTAACCGGCTGATCGTTCAACTATGATGAATTACATGTGATTTTATCAACGAAGACAAAGACTGACTTTCAAGGTAAAATGATCTACGTCATCATATCATTGCTGGAGTACAAACGTTCATGTGATTCTTTTCTGTACACAGAACTGTTTGTTTGTGTGTGTGTGTGTGTGTGTGTGTGAGAGAGAGAGAGAGAGAGTGAGGCAGAGTGAGGTGTGTGTGTGTGTGTGAGTGTGAGAGAGAGAGTGTGTGTGTGTGTGAGGAGACTGTGTGTGTGTGTGTGTGTGTGTGTGTGTGTGTGTGTGCACTGTGTGTGTGTGAGAGAGAGTGTGTGGCACTGTGTGAGTGTGTGTGTGTGTGTGTGTGTGTGTGTGTGTGAGAGAGAGAGAGAGTGTGTGTGAGCCCGGCACTGTGTATGTGTGTGTGAGAGAGAGAGTGTGTGTGTGTGTGTTGGGGGAGGGGTGAAGGGGCTAAACGTGTAAGTCAGTTCACCAGTTACAAACAATTCAATATCTCATTCATAATTACTTTTAAACATTTACTGGTTATATCCGTCAACTTCTAATAACCATGTGGTTATACAGTGTTATTTGATAAAGCATTGCTCGTCTAAATCCGTTCTCACCGGCACGCTACGAGGGACGCCCAGTGTTACATCTTGAATGGCGATCACGACTATTGATTATATTGTTAAGTGCGAGTAATGTTTACAGTTGATTTGTATCGCGGCTGTCATTCCCTACTTTCGCTTTGTCCAGTAGTGAAAGGGTCGGAATATATCTCTACTTTCCCTTCGTCTAGTATCGAAATATGATCTATATATATTCCCTTCGTCATAAATCGAAATATACGTAAACCCTTCTTAGAATCAGTGAGTTTTACAGTTATGACTACTATCACTATTGAGCATTTACACTTTAGGGTTGTAGTGTGTTGTGTTAGAACTGAGAGAGTTCAAGATAGTACATACTTATATAACAAATTTTGACGATCAAGGTGCGCCACTTCAAATCTGTCAATTTTATTGACCAAATGTTCAGTACTCTTCACGTCAGATGAAACTCTACATGTACGGAGGTGCTTAACAACTAACTTAAGAAATACAGGGCATCAATTAATGCGTTCCCAGTTGTGTTTCTTTAGTTTTAATGAAACAGAAAGTACTGCCTCCTTCCTCAGTTTAGAAACATTATTAATTAAGCTGCCTAACTGTATTATGTTTACTTTCAGAATGGGTACGTGCTGTAGTACCGGTGCTGTTCAAGAAAACTACCTCTCTATCCCTATGTCGACAGGGGTAAGTGGACCCAGATGTACTGACTGACTGACTGAGGTTTGGTTTTACGCCGCTTTTAGCAATATTCCAGCAACATCACGGTTTTGGGCGCCACTTTTAGCAATATTCCAGCAACATCACGGCTACCCCACCGGGACACAGAGAAATGGGCTTCACTCATTGTACCCATGTGGGGATTCGAACCATATAAAACAGGTCACTCACTCACTCACTCACTCACTCACTCAGCCAACACTTTAAACCACTCACTCACCCCACCTCACTCTACGAGACCGCCCGTAAATGAACTAAGTGTCAAACCAACAAACACAATAGACATCTGCTGTAATTAACGATTATATTCCAAACTTGACGAAGCTCACAAATCAATACAAGGGCGTCACTATGGTAGTACAAAATAGAGTGGCAATAACAATTCAAATATAACATAATACAGAAGCAATGATTACCGCAATATAGACAGTAATGGCCATATTTACCTCTCAGCAACATTAATCCAACTAACAAGAAACTACAGGTTTAAGCAGAAATCCCAGAGTGAAGATTGATCACACAAAATGCTGATAATTTTGCCCTTGAGAGATACGAGGCAAGTTAGTTCCCCTTACGTATATATAAGGAAACATACTAGATCTTTCCACACTGTTCTCGACGTAACTGAAGAGGGCAACAGCCTGTTGGACCCGTGAAGATCCGGGATTATAATAGAATTGATCTTCAGTAACTCATGCTTGTCGTAAAAGGCGACTAACGGTGGTCAGGCTCGCTGATTCGGTTGACAGATGTCATCGGTTCCCAAATGCGTAGATCGATGCTCATGCTGTTGATCACTGGATTGTCTGGTCCAGACTCGATTATTTACAGACCGCCGCCATATAGCTGGAATATTGCTGAGTGCGGCGTAAAACTAAACTCACTCACTCACATCAGCCTGTTGTAGAGCAATCCACAAGTTGTCTAAAATAGCACAATTCTAAATATAGCACACGTCTGCGGATGGGTACCTGACGTACTGTCTGTTCCGGGTATTTCTCCAGTCTTGCACCTACCAACAAGGCCAGACAAGTTATTCACAATACAGAATGTACCCACCACAGGGTCGTGTCGTGCTTAAAAACAGCGTATATATAGTATACAATATATAGTAGGTATATAGACTATATATACCTATAGAGACTATATACGTCTTTCTAACGCAGTTTTTAAGCACGACACGCCCCTGGGAATTTCTAAATTTCTGAAAATAACGTACCATCGGTACAGTATCACCATTCGCCCTTGAGTGAAATCCATGATTCGTGACGAACCTCAACGTATATTATATATATCTGTGTGTTCCCGAGACATAAACCTCATTCACTCACTCACTCATTACATGGTGTTTAATCCCCACGGTCGTGCACCATTGCCGACCATAATATTACCGTAACACTGCTATAATACTCACTAACACATTGATCCAGGTACAAGGGAAGGCCGGCGGAGCGGTGACGGATCTGGAGACGTTGTTCAAATCCTGGGCTTGGGAAAACTACCTGAGAAGTGCAAAGGGGAAGAAACTCAAATTTCGAGAAGCTCAGATACAGCTTGTCTGGGATCATGTCAAGTGCAAGTCAGACAAGCCTGTATACACACAACTGGAGACTCCGATCCCCGGGACCAGCGCGGGCGTTCCCTCGACCGAGACCCAGGTAGTCTTCACATCACGGTATCAGAACGATACTGCAGTCGCACAGACGCATGCCTTCAGGTAACAGTTGGGAAAAGACTGTGGGTGCAATTGCGGGTATTCATTATTGGCCGTAATGTTTAGGTGCATGGTCACGTGCACAGGTCATTAGGTGAGTGAGTGAGTGTGGTTTTACGCCGCTTTCAGCAATTTTCCAGCAATATCACGGCGGGGACACTAGAAATGGGCTTCACACATTGTATCCATGTGGGGAATCGAACCCGGGCCTTCGGCGTGACGAGCGAAAGTGGGGAATCGAACCCGGGCCTTTGGCGTGACGAGCGAACGCTTTAACCATTAGGCTACCCCATCGCCCCAGGTCAGTAGGTGAAGTAGTGTCGGCGGCGGGGAGTAGAAGCATGGGTGACCGCGTTGGCCAGCACGACTTCTGAGAGTTTTTAGGTTTGTGGTTCTGCTCCACACGGACGCACATGTAACACATAGTCGATGTCCTCCTCAGGCGACGGACTTTGTTGAAATACAGGTTTGAGTACCCAGCCGTAACAATTGTTAGTTAGTAGGATGAGATAGTAATGTAACATATACCTTTCACCCAAGTCAGCTTGAGTTGTATACTTTCCAAAAAGCTGAAAGGAGTACATGCTGATCCATTGTCCAGGGTTTAATAATGGTAATAATGTTGTTGCATGCACCTTGTTTATAGAGGCCAGCACAATGTGTGTACATACATGCATAATTGTTGTTGCATTAGAAAGTTCTGCATGTCAGAACCATGCATGTTGTAGTGATGAACATCAAAGACTTTAACCATCTCAGGCTTAGATCCCGCGTTACGTTGACGTCACGTGAAAAAGCGACGTTGTTCTCACTCACTCAAGCACGCGCAAAGTCAATCACTAGACTAACGTTTTGTCTCTGAATATATATAATTCTGATAGTAACAAACAAACCCATATAAATTAAAACGGAACCCCAGGGAGACCAGAGATTCAGAACCTGAGGAAATCTAGACTTGCTTCATTTAGGGCTTTAGCATTGCAGTGAGGGTTAGGCAATATGGAAAATAATGTGGTTCAGGGACTGTGAAACAGACTAAGTCAATCACCAACGCACTGACCTATCCACTCACTCACTCACCCACTCTTTTACAGAGCTGAGAAGACGACGAACGCTACCATTACAACAACCATTACGAAAGGGTTCGCTAAGGAAGGAAGCTTTGGGCTGGAGTTGTCCCTACCCGCTGACGTCGCCAAGGCAACGATTGGGTTTGGTCTCAACTACACTGTTGAAACTGCCGAGGAGCATACCATCGCAAAGTCAATGACGTGGGCCACAGATACAACAGTGACGTCAGAACCGAAGTCAGTCACTCTGGCAGAGCTTGAGATTGAGGAACAAGCTTCCAGCTGGACATTCGAGGTCAAGGTCACCATCAAAGGGCGGATAACTGCAGTTATCAAAGGTACCAAGGGCATGACATCTGTTGCCATGACGATTGATGGAGATGTCGCAACTATCCTTGAAGATCGTCGAGCAGGAACTGCATCGTCTGTACCCAAGGATGTTGAGATTAAACATGGCAAGGTCACTTGGCCGGTAACGGGCAAATGTGACTTCCGGTTCGGCGTGTCCCAGAAAGTGAAAGTCTCGCCTGCACAACCAAATAGATAAGAAGGAGTAATGAATTTTAGATTTAAATTTAAAACTGATGCGTAATACGTAAGAAGTTTCAAATGGTAATAGAGTTCCAAACCATTCACTAGTGCTTTGTCCCATGCTTGTTGACTAACGGGATCGAATGGTCAGGGTCGCTGACATGGTTGACGCATGTCATCGTGTCCCAATTTCGTAGATCGATGCTCAAGATGTCAGTTGATTGTCTGGTCAAGGCAGACTGTCGTCATCGATGCTTTTATCGGATTTAAAAACAAAACCCAGGTTTATGTTTCCAAGGTTTCCAAAATTAATTTTTCGTATTACCATTCCGGTTCTAAGTGGCTTAGTTGCCAAATTCGACCTTTCAAATTGCTGCTTTGAATAAATATCTATGTTTCATGAGGTCGAACCTTTTCGAAAGAAGTGCAGTTACGTCAACGATCATTTAAAGAGGTGTTTCGCAAAATCCCTGAAAGTCCATTCAGGTAGCTTGAACGTCGCCATTATAAACCGGAGACGTTTACATCTCTTATAAGTTCTTAAGATGAGTTGATTCAGAAAGCCGGAAACGGCGTCTGTTACCATGGAAACATATGTCCATGTATTTGCCGGCTGTGTTACTGTGGATCAAAAGAAAAGTCTCCTTTATTGTTCACATTCAGTGTACATGCTTGTTATCATTTCCCCTACAGTTCTATGTTTACAACACTGGTATGTTTCCAGGATTGAAAACAGGCAGTACATGAACGCCTGGTAATAACTTTCTTATTAATCAACAATTAACTTTTAGCGTTGCATCGGTAATATTACAGTAATTTATGATTGTTGATAAACTAGATTTCTTTCAAAACGCACATAGTATATGCTTACTTTTAAAAGCAAAGAAAAATATTCAACACGGATATGTTTGTATTTTTATCATACCTTTTTGACCATTTTCATGTATTGAAGTAGATGACAATAGCGTGATTATGGTGCTTGTGACAATGTGATTACAGAGCTTTTACTAGCGCTTCCGATTAATTTTTCGTTTTGCCAATACGTCTATAATTTTGTGCTTAGATATATATCGTCAGTTCGATTCAGTTCACTGATCAGATGTTCACCTGTCTAGGTAAATTTGAAATGAGGCTCTCCCAGACAGACAGAGATTTAACTTCCTACACTCTAGCAACCCAAGAGCAACGTTTCAGGTCGCAATTTTAAGCCCATATGGCGTCAAGCAAACAAAGAAACAAAATACTTGATTGAGGAAGGAACATCCGCCTTTAATGTGAAAACACAGGTAACACCGTTCACACATACAGTTATTCTGTCTGTACCTTTGAAAACAATGACAATGTTGATGAATATAAATTTTACTAAACTTTAGCATACAATCAGCAAAGTACAATATTTCCCTGGAACACACTGTCAGGATATCGTATCTCAAGGCATCCATCGCTTATTGCTTCAAAACGTGTTGCTGTATTCTGTGTAAGGGAGAACCGAACAATCAGTTTGGTTTAAGTAAATGTATAATCAGTTTAGTTTAAGTAACTGAACAATCAGCTTTGTGTAACTGAACAATCAGTTTTGTGTAACTGAACAATCAGCTTTGTCTAACTGAACAATCAGTTTTGTTTAAGAAATTTACATATAAATATCCATTGTTGACATCAACAAATCCCCTTCGATATATCATTTGAGAAATGCATTTTAACGTCAGCCCAACCTAGGTTCTGGAATCCACTCCAGTAGGTAGTTGCTCTTGTGCAAGGTCCATTTCTTGTGACACGCCATGCGAGACATGTAGTTTACCAATAACTGGCCACTTGACCATGTCTCCCTGAACATAGACACAGTTAGGGAAATATATTTCACGTCGGTATATTGCGTCTCCGATGATAGTTGCAATGTCACCCTCGACCTGAATTCGAACCTGACTGTTGTCAGTGGTGTTTACAACTAACACAACGACCCGTCCCTGTATACCCACGGTGGTTCTGAAGCGGCATTTGAAACGTTTCTCAACGACCCTTACCATGGCAGTGGTTCTCCGCATAGGTGGCGCTGTCACGCTGTACTTGATCACCCAGGAAATAGAGTTATCTGCCCTGTTGTCTCCCTCACCGGCGATGAATATGCCGTTGTTAAACGCGCCTGCGACATCTTCGGGAGCGGTAAGTTTTATACCTACATCCGCTCCACGACAAAAACCTAGTTTTATTACAACCCTCGCTGTCGCCGATGTCGTGCGTTGTTCCCTTATCTCATGGTCATGCGTGACGTCGGTGTGGTTGTCGTAATTGGCCTTGAAAAGGGACGTTGATCTGGGTGTTTTGTAATCGTATCTCCCAAAGAAATACGTGGGCTGCTCTGTACTAAATCGGACACCATCCCACACCACGTGTAGCTGGTAGTCGTTGTAGTCGTGTTGTCCTTTTGTTTTAATAAATGTCGCCCACGCCCACTTCTTTATGACGTCATCAAGGTCCGTCAGTTTGCTTGGCATGTTGATATCTAGGGCAAAGGGTAGATGACTGATTACGAAATGAGCTCAAATTCTAAACATAAAGTGATTTTAGTCTTTTAGCAATAATCCCGCAATACCACGGCTGAGGACACCAGACATGGGCTTAAAACCTAATATTATGTTTCTGCTCTTCACAGACGTAGAGTCAACATCAAATGTTACAAATTAATTTGAATTTTGTTCAAATATAATTTTTTGTCCCTGTGTTACCTAAATACTGTCTCGCCTATTCCACTTTGGTCCCCAGACTTGCGTGTTGCCTTTCGTTTATTTACACTCTCTCACTTTATATCTCACTCACTCACTCACTCACTCACTCACTATGAAGTGATGACAGATTAAGCTGATGCTCAGCAGTTACCGAGGTCGTGGGGTAACGGATTCGGTAGTCCATCTCGGCACCCTGGCTCGTTGCATGCTATTGTAACCCGTATATGTTCATAATATCAATCACAGGCTTGTCTGACCAAAAGAATGTAATGCGGTGTTAAATAGCAAAGAACCTTAATATGTGAAGCACTGTATGTAAATCCATATTCTTGTAGTAATGGTGTATTGTGTATGTCGCCAAATTGTATAAACGTTATAGTGTAAATTATGTATATCACAGTATGCATTATTGTTTGATGAATACACACACACACACACACACACACACACACACACACACACACACACACACACACACACACACACACACACATATTTATATATGTTATTGATATATATACATAAGAATGTATCACTGTAATATGGGCTGGATGACCTAATTCCCGGATAAACATTGATTAAATCATAATATGAAACCTGGATGATATTTAAAGTATGATGTATAGCAAAACGTGTTCAACATACCAGAATGGCACCAGTACCGAGTAATTCCTGAACACGATTTGAGCTATGTCATGCGACGTGCTTCATAGGTCAGATCACATGACACATCGGTTCGTATATGTGAGTGTGTGAGTACCAAGTCGTTAGGCAGTAAAGTGAAAATGGGGATAAACCTATCAGGTGATATCTGACACGACAGCACTATATTAGGAACGTCTGCGTCCATCTGCCACGTCTACATGTACGGCGACAAAGGACCAGTGTTCAACCCATCCGTCAGGTATATTTGTGTACAACGACTTACCTGGTATTACCGTTCTCGAAGGGAATCCCCGAAGTATTAACAACAGGGTCCGTGGTACAGATAGTTTGTAGATTGCAATCAAAAGATAGGGCCTGGCATGCGCTGGGTGATATCGATTATCGACTTGCAGTGAGCGCCTGTTAGAACACCCGTCATTGCAGTGCATGTAATATTGATATATAGCCCTGTTAATAATCGTATATTCGCATGCTTGTATTTTATACACGTTCTTGTACATTTACTATGCAAAAGTGACCGATTATGCAGTTTTACCTACATATCTACATTTGCTGAGACCCGTGAATATCCGGGTTAGAATTGGTCTTCAGCTTGTCCTAAAAGGCGACTAACAGGATCAGGTGGTCAGGCTCGATGAATTAGTAGATCGTGCTCATGATGTTGACCACTGGATTTGTCTGGTCAAGATTCTTTACAGACCGCCACAATATAACTGAAATAATTCTGAGTGCGGCTTTAAACAAAACAGAAATACCCAAACAAATACTTGAAAACCAGCTAAGCATGTGACATGCGCGTGTGTGCACACGTGATAATGTGTGGGTCCCTGAAATGAAAGGTCAACCAATTTATTCTGTTAACGATATCCTTCGGCTGATATAACTTGAAGCTTATGCACAAAAAAAAGCTAGGAATCCATACTTCAGCCAGTCATTACTATATCCATGGGAGAAACAAGGTTAATGACTCGTGGAATATTTACTTACATACATTTTTAAATACAAACATTATTGACAGTGTATTGACGAAACAGATCTGGGGTTCATTTACGAGCTTTTAATTTATTAAAAGATTTAAGACCAATACCACGTGACATTCATCTGATATCACAACATTACGTCAGCCAACGTCAAGTGCGACTGCGTCTACATAAATACATGGAGTGTCTAAGCTGCACAATAATGTACTCTTCTATCGGTTCAACTGATTTTCTCGCCATGGGTTGCCTGTTATGGTTATGCACTGTTTCCATGAATTAGGCGGAATGAAGTGTCTTCACATATAGATACCCTTTCCATAGGGTTAACCGCTAACTAAAACTAATAACCCTTTATCTCCACGGAAATACCCCCAGTTGCAGATGTTATAGATACCATTCAGGGATTCCAGGAATAGGTACACGTCACGCGGTGATAAAACTGCCTGACATATGACACACCTCGACTATATAATGAATGGTCTAGCTAACCCCCTCAGTATTAAATGGTTGATATTACACCAGGGCGGAAGGTGACATAATGCAACAGAACATGGCTTACCGTCCTGATATTCCCTCAGGTGAGTAGGTGTGCGTGCGTACGCGTGTGTGTACGCGTACGCGTGCGTATGTATTATACGTATTTATATTTTACGCAATGTGATTTTTGAACCTGTCAAACCCCGTCAAACCCCATATGGCATCACATGTCAGTAGTGCTAAAGCTGCCTTTGACTTTGGTGAAGCCCACGTGAAAAATAATGGATCGAATAACAATAGTGTGACGTCACAGTTGTTTTGTATCACTTCGTATTTATTCGTTGATGCATGTCTTGGTAGTATTTCATGATTGACGGTGCACAAACTATCACCAAGGTTACAACTATCGATCACACATATTTTCAGAGGGGATCTCGCCTTAAACCAGTAAGACTAATGAGGGTTGGGTGTTTAAAATGTGTGACCAAGATCAGTGTCGTCGTTTGTTTGTGTTTAACGCCGCTCTCCAGCAATATTCCAGCACTGTGACGGAGGCCTGTTAATAATCGAGACTGGACCAGGCAATTCAGTGATCTAATCAACTGACATGCATCAATCAAGTCATCGAGACTGACCACACTATAACATCAATCGCCTATTACGACAAGACAGTTCTAGTCATGTTTCGGCGTACCAATGAAACTCAGGCCTTCATCGTGAATATCTGCGCTTTTGGCCACAGACTTCACCATGCTCTTTATCTAGGCAATTAGCGACATAGTGCATCCACGCAAACATACATACAGCTGTACATGTCACTAGTGAAAAGTGATTGTACCTATGACAATTGTATGTGTGCATTAAACAATTCATGATAGTCCAGGGGATACGAACGCTATTATCTGTTACATATTTTGAATGACATAGTTACGTAAATATACACGCAAGTTTACCAACAACCGAACGTGGGTATTTCCTCTTGAAACGAAACATTTTGACAACGTGAAATTCAGATATGATACTGTTTACAGTTTCAGGTACGTCCACGAAAATTACAGACATTAGCACAGTGTTCAAGGAGTGGGCATGGACGACCTATCTCAAGACACCCAGACAACCTGTACTTTCCAGAAAGTTGAAGCTTACAGAAGCTGATATCGAGTTGAAATGGCATAGAGTGAAGATCACGTCCCTAACGCCAAAGTACACGAAAGTTGAGGCGACTCCCACTAAAGTACACGTTCTCTACGACTCCAAATACAATAACAGTACCAAGGATGACCAAGAACAGACATTCAGGGCTGAGAAGGAGACAGTTTCCACAGCAACCACCAAACTAACCAAAGGTTTTTCAAGGGATATAAATGTCGGCATCGAACTTACCCTTCCTCCAGATCTTGACCAACCTTCCAAAGCAGAGGCCAGCTTTGGACATCGACTGAATGTGGATAACGAGGAACAGAACACTGTTGAAAGTAAGGTCAAGTGGTCTGTGGACACCAAAATCACCTCTAGACGTAATGTCGTCACTGTAGCTGAACTGGCAATAGAGGAGAAAAGCTGCCAGTATGAGTTCTCAATGGACGTGAAACTTAAAGGGACGGTCCTTGCAGTCATACGGGACGCCCGTGGTGAGAGGAGACACGTCATGACTGTCCAGGGGGACGTGGCTACCGTTCTGAGGGACATTAAAGACAAAGACAGATTTGGTAAACTTTTCAGTGTAGATATCAACAAATCTCGAACCGTTACCTGGCCCGTGTCCGGCTCTCTCCACCTTAAATACGGAGTGTCACAGACTGTCAAGATATATCAACTATAACCTTCGAAAAATGAGGGTTAGAATTTTGGCAGGAACATTTGTTCCAACTGCAGATATTCGGTTTTGATTCTCCAGATGGGAGTTATTCATGAAGAATATTTGTCGTTTCTGGAACGAGTTGTTACTGGACTGCTGCCAATGGCAACCCATTCCTAAGTACCGATGTCAAGCTTCGAAACTCACTGTCAGTAACAGCAGACATATTGATAATCAATTTCATTTTGTACAAGTCCTTGGACCAACGTACAGACATGGTTGAAGTGTTGTGCATTACTCCAGATACATTTTATCTGTACCAAGAGCATGACATCTATGAGACTGTCCGTGAATGAACTTACTGTGAAACCAACAAAAATAGACATATGTTGTAATTAACGATTAAATGTTTTGTGATTGATTCCATTATACCCACCAGTGTAAAATAGTCAATCTTCTTAAACAGGACAGAGCTTCGCGTGTGAAACTTCATGTGTCAAACACTGGAAAACGTTCCGATTATAATGTTCTGTGTTTCCGTATAGATTCTCATCGTGCATTTGAGAAACACAAATAGAGACGGTGTACGGATTAACACCGATTTATTACAGAGATGAATATGTGAGTATGACTGTGTGGTTAACTTGTATTGTCAACAGTTTTGTAATGGTAACGATATCAGAACTGATTTACAATTAATGTCATTATAATACAATACTGATGAATACCATTCCAGTGTTAATTTGCCCCAACCGTACGTAAACCAGAAGACTGTCCATCCCTAGCTGTCATTACATGTATCCATCTAACAAATTTTATTCAACTTCAAGCAGAAGAAAAATAATGTATGCAAAATGTTTATATACATTTCCAATGTAACATCGATGTTTTATTCATACAGTATAACATGTCATATATCTTTAGCTTCGGTTAGTGGAATTAACCATGTTGCCTTTCTTGTCGAATAAACCTCTTCATCATCTACATCTTCTTCTGTTGTTTACGATGTCCTGGGAAGCTGTATAACCTAAATTCAGTAACGTTATCAAGCCGTGAATATCTGTGTTAGAATTTATGCTGTACTAGTCGTAAGAGGCGACCGACGGGTGATATGGCTCACTGAGTCGCATCGTATCTTAATTGCGTAGATCAATTCTCATGCTCTCAGAAATTGAATTATACTAAAGTTTACTCACTGAACTGTGAAGAGATCACTAGCTGTTATTACCGCATGCATTCGCGTGGAAACCAAATACAAGACCGATTCTGAGCAGAATATGTGTTCGTGAAAAGCGTCAGCCCTCTTAACATTCTATAATAGCAATAATGTTTGTGATTGTTTTAACGCCGCACTCAGCATGATTTCATCTGTGTGACGACCTTCTGTAAATAACTGGACCAGACAATCCAGTGATTATCATCATGAGCATCATCCAGCCTGACCACACTGTCGCCTCTTACGACAAGCATAGGTTTCTGAAGAACAATTCTAACGCGGATTTTCAAGGGTTGATAACATCGCTTCAGGTTATTTGTGTTTGTTATTTAACTTCTTTAACGATCAGCATGAAAGACAAACCTGTGATTGATATCATGAACACTATACACGCTGACTGGTAACAATAACACACCAGGCTACCGAGCTGGACTCCTGTGCGTCCATGTTTCCTCACATAATAGTAGCTGATCTGTGATCGAAAACATCATGATGGGTTTATACCCATTGAGTCAGTATTATACATGCCTGACGAGTGAGTGCTCATTATACGTTGAGTATGAGAATGAGTGAGTTTATACGTGGAGTATGACGGAGTGAGTATTATACTAGGAGTATGACTGAGTGAGTGAGTATTATACTAGGAGGAGTGAGTGAGTATTATACGTGCTCATGAATGAGTATTATACTAGGAGTATGAGTGAGTGAGTGAACTCAGGGTGAGGTATTATACGTGGAGTGTGAGTGAGTATTATAAAGCTTTGAGCTATGAATGAGTGATTATTATTCGAGGAGTATGAGGAGTCAGGAGTGAGGTTATTATGGAGTGTTAAGCGGGTTATTGATTTTCACATAAAGTCCAAGGGTGTGTTTGCTTCAGATTATTCAGGTAATAAATAAAAAATTACGGTACCAACAATAAAAATCGCTAAGCAAAAGATTGCCAATACTTTTAATTGGAATGCCCTTTGATCTAGAACTGTTGATTTTCGCCGTTTCTAACATAAACATCCTTGTCAACTCAAGAAAAGACCAGTCTGATAAAACACCATATTCACTCACTCACTCTGGGTTTGTCAACACCAAACACGTAGGGTTCATCAAAGGGGTGAATGTCTTCTTTACTGTATTACTTCGGGCTTTCTTCCCACATCAAACATATCAGTTTATCATACACAAACCTTACAAATAATTATGCCCTTTCAATTATTATTTTTTCACACTTTCAGGTATTTCTTAAACTACACACTACATGTAACGGTTGTTAAAATGTCGGTCACAGTGTTACATTGGGACAAGGATTTGTCAAACAGTAAGGTCCCGCTTAACACGTTTGCTATTCACACCTAAGATGAAGTTCGAAGCCGTTTCAGATGCCCCTCCCTTAAGCGGCGTAAAACCATACTCATTCACCAATGAGAATTGTTTATAAGGGATCGTTCATAATTTATGGCTGGGGTGGTGTGTGTGTGTGTGTGTGTGTGTGTGTGTGTGTGTGTGTGTGTGTGTGTGTGTGTGTGTGTGTGTATGTGTGTGTGTGTGTGTGTGTGTGTGTGTATGTATGTGTGCGTGTGTGTATGTGTGTGTATGCGTGATGGTCATGTACAAAGTCAATGCCCCCCCCCCCTCGCATAATTTTTAAGCATAATTGTTCAATATTTTTATGTACAAAAATGATGACCCCGGCCCCCTTGCCTCCCCAGAACAAAATGGGTGACCCTCCATCCCCCTTTAATATCAACGATCCAGTGATCTACGCAACACGTTGATCTACGCAATTGGGATACGTCGACATGTGTCAACCAAGTCAGCGAGCCTGACCACCTGATCCCGTTAGTCGCCTTTTAGGACAAGCATGGGTTGCTGAAGACAAACCAACTGGTACGCCTACGGGCCACAATTCTTCACAATGAATCGCAGCACCTCACACGACTGGGCCAGTTGCTCCTCTCATCCATAGCTCGTATAGTCTACCATATACATATTTAAGTTTTAAACTACACAGAAAGACAGAACAATCAGAACTACAAAATGTGCAAATTTATTTCAAAGTATGAAAACGTGATTTGTAATAACATTTAAAACATGACGACGGATAGTACAATTAGTGGAATATCAAAGTGTAGTAGGGCATCATAAAGGTATAACTATTAGTTGGCGGTACAATATAAACCTAGCTATTGATGGCCAACAGCCCAAAGTATATCACAATGACAAAATCTAACGTGAATAGTCCTAATGATAAGAGCAATCTACAAAGGAAATGGTTAGACAATATGCGCGCTGATCCAGGTCCATTAATAGTGCTTTACACTATGATCACAACTGTGACAATGTTACTTTGCATCCAAGGATTATCTATACTACAACAGTATAAAAACATACTGGCCATAGTAGCCACACTGTTAGTATCAGTTCAGAATTCTTGACTCAACTGCCAAAGGAAAGACCTCCCTTGAGTAGGTGACATGGATGACTCGAGACATTCACATATTAGAGTCAGTATTTTGTTTCTCCCACTGATTCACAATATAACAAGTTCTTCAACATAAGTACAACATATTTTCCTGTTAAACTGAGTATCACCAACCTTCTCCCCCAATAACAGCTATGGTATATCTTCCACCGCAAGTGATGGATATACACTCCGGGTTGCCCCTGCTTGGCTTTTTGCTGCACCAGCGTCTTTTCCATAGGAAACCTTCACTTTCTGTGACACACCGTACCTGAACACCACACTGCCGTGTACAGGCAGCTCCACAGTACGGTTTTGACTGTCAAATATTAAATCATTCATACTGCCACCATTTCTGATATTAATGTCTTTAAGAACAGTTGCCACGTTGTTTTCAACCACCTGCACGACTTTCTCCATGTTTCTCCTGTCCCGAATCACAACCACCACTCTTCCCTTTAGTTTGATGGCGCTGGTGAATTTATATTTTGCGCTCGTCTCCTCCACCTCCATCTTGGCTATGGTTTGTTTCTTACTCTTGGACACTATCGTTGTGTCCACAGACCAAGTCTTCTTCTTTCTGACAACACTGTTTTCATCAGTTCCCACGTGAATGCTGTTCCCGAAACTGGCAGTCGCCATTTGCTTCTTTCGCGCATCTGGAGATTCATCGCCAGCGGTCATTCGTGACATTTCGTCCGGAAGGTCCATTTCAATCGTAGTATTCGCCTGCTTGCTGTAGCCTTTGGTCAACGTGATACTAGCAGTAGACTCCGTGTCCTGTTCCGTTTTGAAACTGTGCGTCTGGTCATTGTCTGTATCATTGTCGTACTCCGCCTCAATGACCACTTTGGTTCCAGATTCCAGTCCCTCCAACTGCTTCACATACTTAGTTTCCTGGGTAGTAGTTTTAAATTTTTCCCATAAAATCTCAATGTCTGCGTGTTTATACTTCAGTTTGGGCCTGAAGAGCTTTGCGAAAAAGCTTGTTCTTGTGTTCAAATAATGCCTCCAAGCCCAATCTTGGAAATATTCCTGTAGATCGATGATTCTTTGAAGCATTTTGTTGATGTATCCCAACTGTCGTATTGCGCCGAGCTCAAGCTCAGAGTGAGGCGTCTCTGCTGCTCTCGGTCTTTTATACTATTAGGCGGGACTTCCCCTTTTGTAATTCCCCTTGCGCAAAGAAAAATTATGTTTAGCTCTCACGTAATCGCAGTCTCAGACATTAAATGTAGCGTTTGTTGAGCGACGACCCTACGAATCACTTCTGCGCATGTACATAAAATATCTATTTTAGTCATCGGGTCTTTCCAATGTTATGGCTACTTCTATGAATAGACACACGTCTCCCTCCCACAACTGCGATGCAAAACATTTCAGTATAACCGGCTGATCGATCAACTATGATGCATTACATGTGATTTTATCAACGAAGACAAAGACTGGCTTTCAAGGTAAAATGTTCTACGACATCACATCATTGCTGGAGTACAAACGTTCATGTGATCTTTTCTGTACACAGAACTGTTTATGTGTGTGTGTGTGTGTGTGTGTGTGTGTGTGTGTGTGTGTGTGTGTGTGTGAGAGAGAGAGAGAGAGAGAGAGAGAGAGAGAGTGTGTGTGTGAGAGCCCGGCACTGTGTATGTGCTTGTGAGAGAGAGAGTGTGTGCGTGTTGCGGGAGGGGGTGAAGGGGCTAAACGTGTAAGTCAGTTCACCAGTTACAAACAATTCAATAGCTCATTCAAGTAGTATAGAGGCCTTTATGGCGTCAAAATCTATTTTTAGCTATGGGGCTTTATAGGGTCAAAATCTATTGTTAGACTTCACATAGTCTATTTTTATTTAGATGATGAGTCACTGCTCTCTCTATTGTATATTGAGATCTATGGTGTGAACATCTGGTGTGTCTATTTTTTAGATGATGAGTCTTTGTCTCAGGTCTATGTGTAGATTGAGATGGTGTGTGACACTGGTGTGTCTGGTGTGTCTATTTTTAGACTCGGGTGGGTATATAAAGTCCACCAAACAGCCTCATGTCATACTCAGTCACTACACCTAGTGATTACACATTGTGGATATACTACCAGTGTTCCTTTTGCAACCCTAGTGACTACAGTTACTGGGTGTAAAGCCATTCTTGGTTTAGACGCTGTACTGTGCGGACGTGTTACCATAGGACCATGGATGTGTGTGGACATTACCCATTCGACAAGACTGTCGTTGCCGATTGCTGTGCAATCAAGACTGAATGGACTTCATTCCAGAAAAGACTCGATTCGTTTAAAGACTGGCCAGTGCAAATGAAACAGAGTCCTAGTCACATGGCTCAGGCAGGATTTGTGTACTTAATCAGAGGGGACGCTTGCAAGTGTTTTCAATGTGGTCTCGTTCTCAAGAACTGGGAAGTAGATGATGATCCCTGGGCCGAACATGAAAAATGGTCTCCAGATTGTCCGTATTTGGCCCTGGTGGGAGTACCTCAGAAAGAGGTGACCCGTTGGGGTAGTCATGTGGATTTGCAACCAAGAGTGTGATGTAAAATGTGTGACTATTGGAAATAAATCAATGTTAAGAGTATGTCTGCCTTGGTTGTCTATGTATAGTATAACAGAGCATCGGCTTAGTACACCTGGTACACCCGGTTTAGTTTGTCATAGTAGTGCATCCGAACCATCCTGGCAGCGATGTTGAAAGCTATACCAAGGTCAATGAATATATCTATATAACAGGCCACAAGGACTATCTAACTTCATTTAGCCGTGGACCAGTGACAGTGACGCATCACCCCAGACCGCTCCCGTTTTCATCATGAATAATCCACGATACAAACTCTTCGTACCGGATGCCGAAAAATGGACACGGTATTACATGCTCAGGGCTGAAGGGAAAGGAGACCCTTATCATTCTATAACACGTGGAGGAGAAAAATCTGCCATGATGTCTGTCGAGCGATATTTGGAACTGTATGATCCAGAGTGGAAGAAAGACAAACAAAAACCAGAAACCACAGAGCAACCTAAGATTAATTTCGTTACCCCTACTCAACAAGTGGTTGAACAAGCTAAAGCCAAGTTGAAGAGAGAAAGGGAAAGTGCCGTCAATAGGGAAAACACAAAGCGAATGAAAACATATTTTTAAATAGAGACAAAAGGTTAAATGTATCATTTGTAGTAGGACTGTTGACGTGTGAACATCATTATGCATCCCTGTCCCGTATGCTCCAAACAATATGTTTGGGCTCATGACTTGTCCCGTCATATTCGAACAAAACATCCAAAAGATATCAAGCAGCAGCAGCAGCAGCAGCAGCAGCAGCCGTCACCACCACCACCACCACAGCAGCAGCAGCAGCAGCAGCAGCCGTCACCACCACCACCACCACAGCAGCAGCAGCAGCAGCAGCAGCAGCAACCACATCCACCACAACGTGTGGCTGCTTTGGAAGAATGTAGACTGATTCACCCCTTCACCATGATTGTCTCAGGGCCAACCTCCTGTGGGAAAACCTACTTAGTGAAACAGATTCTAGAAAGGATGAACATTAAACCTTATCCTGAACGTATTATATGGCTCTACAAACGATGGCAGCCCTTGTATAATGCCATTCAAACCCATGTTTATCCCTATGTGGAATTTCATCAAGGCATTCCTTCTGATCTCGAAAGGATGCATTTCTAGACCCCCATGTGGTGAACGTGGTTATCCTCGATGACTTAATGTCTACTGCCAGCAAAGATCCACGCATTACAGATCTGTTTACGGAAGGAAGTCATCATCGTAATCTCTCAGTGATCGCCTTGAACCAGAATTTGTATTTCAGTAAGGATCCCACACAACGAAGAAACTGTCATTATCTGCTTCTGTTCAACAACCCTATCGATCAACAACCCATCATGACTTTGGCGAGGCAAATGTATCCAGGTAACGCAGACCATTTCATGGAGCTGTTTCAAAGGGCTACCCAGAAGCCTTATGGCTACTTGTTGGTTGATCTAAAACCCCAAACACCTCCCCATAGGCGACTTTGTCCCAATGCATTCAGTTTAAAAGGACACCTCCAAGCCAGGACAAATCAGTCCGAGTTAGATGTTCAGCGTGAGCAGACGTGTGAAGAAAACCTCTCAACCATGCCAACTTGTGATGCCTGTGGACTCGTGTTTCAAGATGTGCAAGATTTGCAAAAACACAGAAGAAACTGGTGTCCCGAAAAGTCTTCAGTGGGTCCTCCTGGGATACCCCAAGTGAAAAGGCAGTGGGAGGAAGACAACAACTTCTCACCTGTGAAGAGACCACGTCCTCTGGTGGATTGTGACTATTGTGGTCAAGTGTTTAGCACTAACCATAACTTACAAAGACATTTACACGATAAACAATGTCCTGAAATGGAAAATGAGGACGATGATGTTGAATCATTAAGCGATGTCACACACAACAGGAAAAATAAGATGGTTGATCTCGAAGAGCAAGGTATAAGACAAATGTATTCACGTACGCGTGAGCTGAATAAAGACTTTTTGGATGAGAAACGACAGCTGTACATAAAAAGAGGTTTAAACGAAGACATGATTCAAGCCAAACTGAACAAATTGATCTGGAGCACGTTTAAAGAGACGTATGCCCGATTTATTACTTATCTGTACCATATGCAGGATGGTCCAAAGACACAAGGAATACTGAAACGAGTAAAAGACACAAATAATATGTATCATGAAGTGATTTCAAAATTGTACCAATATAAGTCTTGGGTCGAAGGCATGACCGAAGATGATGACATAACATCTGATGAAGAGAGTGAAGGACAGGTGGATGATGAGGAAGGGTAATAAGACAACAGATGTAAAGTAGGCATTTGGGAGAGCTCCTATCCTAATGTCTACTCATTTGAAACGGAGCTAATAAACAATGAAATCTGTATATCTCTCTTGTTTCTTAATGTATTGTACCCCTGGGTTACCCTTCAGTAACCCATGCTTGTCATAAGAGGCGACTAACGGGATCGGGGGGGTCAGGCTCGCTGGTTGACACATGGCACATGGTGTAGAATGACGCTCATGCTGTTGATCACTGGATTGTCTGGTCCAGGCTCGATTATGTACATTATGTACAGACCACCTCCATAGAGCTGCTGAGAGTGTACTTGACTCACTGAATGTATTGCTGTAGGATTGACATAAGACAACTGTTGTGCAATTCTTTGTTTTTATAATACCAATTTCAACCCTATTTCACCGAATCCACGAATTCCTAACCTCCTCATATTATTATCAGACATACAAGTTTCAGTTTAAATGTCATTCCTGTTGATTGAATAACAACTGTTTCAGTTCATGGTATTGAAGATAATAACTGTTACAGTTCATTGTATTGAACAACAATTTTAATGATCTGTAATGAATATATTTATATATAAACGGTTTATAAATACATAAGCTATTACACTAGTGTTGTAAAGCCGGTCTACAAAGCCGTTTTGGACATGTAACCGGTTTGGACATGTAGTCATTTTGAGTCAGAACCGTTTGCGAACCGTTTTGACCAAGTTTCACTGAAACCGGTTTGGCAGAAGCGGTTTTGAGACTGAGACAGGTAAGGGCCGTAACTCTAGTCTACTGAACCCGCGTGCGTGGCGTTTCTTTGTCTGATCTTAGAAATGGAGGGAAATTCATGTCCATGGATGACACGAAATGTGTGGAATTTGTGCAATGGACTTTTCTATATCATGAAGGACATGTTCAATATTTTGATGGAATCATACGGAGGACAATAATTTGTGAGTTTACCGTTCATGATTTTCATGCCGATGATGGGACAGATCACGTATGTATGTTTACATTGACATGTTTGCGGTATCATACTGGTATGTATGATCTGATGATTATGATTTTAACCCCATCGTCATCTATATTTAACATTGACATGTTTATTATATCCACACATAGTACAAGATGTGTTTGATGTAGATCATGGCTCGAATACGAGATTATGAACTATATTTATACAAAGTGACTCGAGATCGGAGATGTTTTACCATAATTCATCACATACTATGTAATCACATAATGATTATTATTTGTATCTGCCTTGTTGGTTCTTAATTATGATTCAGGCATGGTTATCAGTATTATTATTTTTTGTGTGTTATTAATTGTTTTCAATGACTCAACAACTATTTTATTGTAACTGAAACAACAAGAAATAAAGTAAATATTGTCACTACATATAATTGTAAT